GAGAGTCAGATTTTTCTCCCTACACCGTTCTAGGACCAGTTTAAGATGATGCAAACATTGGGAAAATGTGTCACCAAAAATGGAAAAGTCATCCATGAAAATTTCGAGAAATCGCTCTACCATGTCGGAAAAAATACTGATCATGCAACGTTGGAATGTGGCCGGTGCATTGCACAGGCCAAAAGGCATGCGTCGGTATGCGAATGTTCCATACGGGCAAGTGAAGGTGGTTTTCTCCTGATCTTCTGGAGCGATAGGGATTTGATTGTAACCTGAATATCCATCCAGGAAACAGTAGAACTCGTGTCCTGCTAAACGCTCTAACATTTGGTCAATGAAAGGAAGAGGGAAGTGATCTTTCCGAGTGGCTAAGTTGAGCTTTCGGTAGTCAATGCAAACTCGCCATCCGGTTTGGATTCGAGTGGGAATCAGCTCATTAGCCTCATTTTGGATCACGGTGATCCCAGATTTCTTTGGAACAACTTGGACTGGACTCACCCATGAACTATCAGAAATGGGATAAATGATCCCATGATCGAGACATTTCAGAATGTCTTTCCTAACGGCTTCTTTCATCACTGGGTTTAACCTACGTTGAGCATCTCTAGTAGGTTTGGCATCATCTATCAAATGGATTCGGTGTTGAACAATGGTTGGACTAATCCCTTTGATATCAGCCATGGTCCATCCAATGGCTTCCCTATTCTCTCTTAAAACAGCTAAGAGAGCTTCCTTTTGACCGGTAGTCAACTCAGAAGAAATGATAACTGGTAAAGACTCGTTCTCCCCTAAGTAGGCATACTCTAGATTTTCGGGTAGAGGTTTGAGCTCTAACTTAGGGGGTTCCTCCACAGATGGGCGAAGCTGGACTCGGGGTTCTATCTCTAAAGGTTCTCGTTGCCAGCCAACAGCAAAAACATGATTGACCAGCGGTTCTATCTCAAGTTCGTCATCAGAAAGCTCCTTAATCATTAAATCAGATGCATTTGAATCAGACTCACACTCTCCCTCTTGTTGTTCACTGGATATTCCTTGAATGAAATTCACTTCCATGGGTTCATAATTATGTACCAAAATTGCAAGTGCACAATTTATCAAGTTATAGTATAAAAAGATACCGATCCCACGAAGAAGGTGATTTTAAGAGATTATCAAACTTGGTTCTTATATTTTGTGCATGTTAATTAGGAATAAAGAATAAGTGTGAATGTGATGAGTGATTGTTGTGAATATTTGCAAAAGATAATAAATTGAATTTTAGAGGAGAGAAGGAAGAATTAAAAAATAAATGAAATCACAAGGCAAGAAAGATGAATGAATAAAATCAAGAAATAAAACCAAGAATGAAAAGAAAATTTAAGAAAGTCAAGATGAAGGATTCAAAAGAGGTAAGAAATCTAGAATATAATCCACTAACCAATTTCAATTACAAAATATAAACTATTCTCTTTTTATCATATTTCAACTTAGATTTATTAAGCATAGATTATCAAACCATTTAAGGAAAGTGTAACCTATCAAATTATCATCTAAGTTAAAATTACTATTCATGATAAGAACAACAACATGATAATAATCCTAGAATTCATAAGCATAACCTATCAAACCATTTAAGATAAGCATAGATTATCAAATTCTTCTTCTACCGATTAGTTCTCTAGTTGATTATCCTAAACATGAACATTTTAAGTACAAGAGAATAATTCATACAATATAAAGGAAATTAGACTAGTTTCATATAATTCTAAACTTCCTACAAGAATTAAATTCACATCTTTAAGAAATAAAAACAAGAAAAAGAACTAATTACAAAAATAAAAAGAAAAGAAAAATCTAAACTATGAACAAGAAATAAATCTAATTACAAAGAAAATAAAAATCTAAACTACAAAATAAATTGCAGAAATTAAATGCAAGAAAAATAAATCTACTCTACAAATTAAAGTGCAAAAAGAAATAAAAAGACAAGAAAATAAATCTACACTACAAGCATGAATTTAAATCTAACTAATAAGCAATAATAAAGAAATTACTAAAAAGAAATAAAAGAGAAAAGAAATGCAAACCTTCAAATTGCTCTTCATCTCCATCCTCATCATTCAACAAGAGGAGAAAGAACAAATTTAAAGAAGAAAAAATTATTATTATTAATTGCAACTAAAGTTACAATTTTTGGAAGGCCTTCTCAATTAAGAGTAGCCCTCCTCTCCAAAAGGAGTTTACAAAATTTTCACACCCTAACCCCTCACTCTCTACCCCTATTTATAGTAATCTTCAATGAATATGAGCCATTGGATTTATCTTGAGCCTCAAACAACAATCTCCACCTTTGAATTTGGTTTTTGTTCTTCTCTAGCCCAATCTTCATTTGATTTTTCAAGGAGAAAAATAAACATTGCAAGTCCGGCCCATAGCTTTAATTTCACAATTAAATCAAGTCTAATTCATAAGATCCAATTGATTTTCAAACAAACAAGTCCGGCCCATTCAAGCCAATAAGTCCCATTCAAACATTTGATTTTCCAAGTCCAAGAAGCCAAGTCCGGTCCACATCTCATTCATTTGTTTTCGGCCCATGTAGTGAAACTTCATTTCATTCATTTGAGAAAATCCAAGTGGCTGTAGCAACCACAAAGTCCGGCCCTCATTAATAATTTCCAAATTCACAAAGATTTTTAATTCCAAAAAAAATCCGGCCCACATCAAACTTTTCTCCATTCAACTGTAGCCGGCCCCATATCAATGCCATTCATTTGAGAAATATGCAATTCATTTGAGAATTTCAAATTAAATCAAATTCGACCCATTCAAAGTCCAGCCCATGTCTTCATGTGATTTTCCAAAAGAAATGGAAAAGGATGTCCAGCCCATGTCTTCATGTGATTTTCCAAAAGAATTTGCAAAGGATGTCCAGCCCATGTGAAAAGGATGTCCAGCCCATGTCTTCATGTGATTTTCCAAAAGAATTTGCAAAGGATGTCCAGCCCATGTCCACATTAATTCTCACAATTAATTCTGTGTGATTTTCCAAAAGAATTTGCAAAGGATGTCCAGCCCATGTCCACATTAATTCTCACAATTAATTCTGTAGCCCACCGGTCCATGTGATTCAATTCTTTGCATACAAGCCTAATTCATTTCAACTATTTGCATCCAAGTCCACGTTTGATTTTTGAAATTCCAAGCCTCTACAACCAAGTCCAGCAGTCCGGTTCTATTGGCTTTTTGCTTCAATGTGCTTCTAAAATGCTACAAAAATAGAGAAGAGAGATTTTGAGAGGTTTTTACATTTAATAATATTTATTTATATTTCCATTCATTTATGTGCAAACTAATGGTATATTTATTCATGTAAAATAGATAATGAGGATATAAAATTGTAATAAAAATATGATTATCAGCCATTATCATTAGCTCATTATTTATATGATCTACTATCTAGTTCATATTGTTTACTCTTGTGTTAGTTTTATATCCTTGCATATACATATATCATATTGTATATCTCTTGATAGGATCTATCATCTTGTGTTAGTTTATATATCCTTGCATATATATATTCATCATATAGGATATATCTCATTGTTCATATTGCTTATTCTAGCTTATATAGTTGTTATATTTCATACTTGCTTGGATAACTTATTAATTAATTTTAATTGGCATTTAATCGGATTAGATTAGCATAAGACCCTAATCACCCCTCCTCTAGGGTCTAATATTAATATCATCTTAGTAATAAAATTTAGGATTTTATAAGTTAAAAATACTTTTATTTTAGAAAATTAATTTATATAAAAAATTTGAATCGTTTAACTTTATGAGACATATTTTTCTCTTCTTTTCTTCAAAATATTTGGCCACTCGCTAGAATATTCTAATAATTTATAATGATAACAAAATTAATAAATATATTATAATTTAATATAAAATAATTTTTAATTGTAATGAAATAGTAAAATTATTTATTTAATAAAATATTGTACATAATTATAATTATTTATAATATTATAAATAGGATTTTTTATATTATAATAATTATTACCCTTTACAATATTATAATATTGTCTTAGACATAAAAATTGGACATTATGAACATAGTGCAATAAAATATTGGATCTTTGCAATTTATGAGTCATGCACTTTTTGTTGGAAAGTAAATGTCTCATATATTTCAAGGATCCAATATTTTTATATAAATTATTTTTTTCTAAATAATAGTATTTTTAATTTATACCATCCAATTTTTTATTACTAAAATGATATTAATTATTGAACAATGTAATATTCTTTACAACATAATGTCATATAATATTAAAAATTATTTCCATTATTTAATAGATATTGTAATAAAAAAATGTACATGACATAAATGTTTAATAATTTAAATGGTTTAATTATATCAATAGTGTTACTTAATACTACTAAATAATTGTTTAATAGTATAATAAAAAAAATTAAATAACTATTAAATGTATGTTAATAATATTATAAGTACTAATATTAGTATATTAATGATTTAAAATATTTACTAAATAATAATAGTTTACTATGGTACGATTAAGATAACATAGTTGGTTTTATTTTTACGACTCGGGCGAATTATAAATGCTAATTTCATCATACACTGAAGTACAGTGTATTTCCCACAAAACCACCCACATTTGTTTATTTCAGTAATCATCCAAAACTTTTGGGTGTCTCACACAAACCCCTCAACGGACCCCTACCTATAAATAAATAACGAATAACTAAAATATGTTTGTAAATGGTAAATAATAAAATTAAGATTTCCTCTCTCAAACACATTTTATTTACTCAGCCATTTACAAGTAGGGTGTGCTCCTTGAGAAAGGTTGATAGCTTTGGGGATTGTGTGAGATACCCAAAAAAGTCAAGGGTTTAGCGGAAGAAACAAAAGTGTTGGGGAAGTTTTGCGACGAACTCCCCCAAAGTTTCTGGGTTTATTGTTAAAGTTTACCCAAAATTTTAACCGTCCGCTCTCTGGACCTAGCGAGAAATTCCGCATCGTAACGAACAGTGGTTCCTTGCACCTCCAATTAATTACAAATCCCCATGGAAGTAATTCATCGCTAGAAATCGATCAGAGATCTCGCCATGTCGGAGGATTCCCACGGCCCTAGCGCGCGGGATCTCGCCTGCAATGCTTGCGCCGGCGCCTCCGCAGGTGATCCTTTTAACTTCCCTTATTATTATTAGGGTTTTGATTTCGAGATGGAATTGGTTGATTGATTCTGTTTTGGGTTCTACAGGGATTATAGCTGCAACCTTTGTTTGCCCTCTGGATGTGATCAAGACCAGGCTACAGGTCCACGGACTGCCCAATTTGCCGCCCTCGGCCAATCGAGGTATAATGCTTTTGATCACTGTTATTTATTTGAATTGAATTGTTTATGATTGCGTTGGTGTAGCTCAGGAATGGAATTTGATGAATGGTAACCGTTAAACCCTAAGGAAGGGGATTATGATAGCAAATTCAAAACTAAGAAAGGAGATGGTGTGTTTGGTCTGGAGTAGTTGGAATCGTAAACGTGCTTACAACTAGTTTCAGCTTCTATTGTTGTGACACCTTTCAACTCTTGAGGTTGAAATGAAGTTTGATTTTAAATAATTTCTGAAATGAGTATTCAAGATGTGAATGAGCCATCTTGTTTTCACTATAAAAAAAAGAGGTATCTTTAATGAAAACCCACTCATGTGTTATATGAGAGCAGCACCTCTATTGAAAGAGCAGCCTCTCCCTCTCCCCAGTACCGCAAAATGTAGTTGTTGGACTGAACAACGCACGATAGTTAAAAGGGAGAGGTTATGAGTGTATATCTAAAGTCCAAATATGTCATGTATCGTTAATGCGTGTGTTCACCTCGGTAAGGGGTTAAGACAAACATGTGTTGAGAATTTAATCCATAGATGAGTTTGTATTTAAATGAGGGAGGCAACTCCTTAATGAGGGTAGTGTTGTGCCTCGAGAATCCAAACCAATCGCCAAGAAAAGATAAACCAACACACCAACAAGCACAAACAATCACTAACACCAGTTTTACGTGGTTCAGCAAGATGCCTACGTCCACGGGGCAAGGAGAGGGGAGTTTTCACTATTAGAAACAAGAGGATACAACTAGGGTTACAAATCTCTCACCAAAAAACCCACAACAACTCACTCTTGATCTCACCAATTGCTCCAACAATAGAAGCCCAATAAAACTCTCCCTTCAGATCTCAAAACTTCAGCCTCCAAACCCTAGAAACACCCCTTTGGGTATTTATAGGAAACCCAAACGAAACGGGTCTGGAAAACAGACCCAGACTCAACCCGCTTCGGCGGTCGACCGGCACGGTCGACCGCGATCCATCGCGCGAACGCGGTCGACCGGGCCGGTCGACCGCCACCCTGACAACCTGAATCCTGAGCCTGGAACCTGATCTATACTAATTCTACAGGTAGTGGATCCTACCATGTTTAAGGAGTTGAACTTGTGTTTGGTAAAAAGTGGATCAGAAATGGCCCATTTTCTTTTAGTTCGTTCCCCCTCCCTACCCAGGTTACAAGTGGATCATCTCCCTCCCTGGACCAATCCTAACTTGGTGAAGGACTTAACCAGGTCAAGGATGGTTTTCGCCGAACACACCCTTATAGTCTATCTAAATTGTCTCAGGATAAATTTGCTCAAAAATTATGGTAGACAATGTCAAGGTTTATTACAACAATGGAAGAAGTTTACATGATGAAAAATAGAGTTGTGGTCAATGCTTGTGCAAGAAGTGCAAAACAAGTGGAAGAATTTTAGTTGGAGTGGAAGAACCCAGTTAGATAGGTGGCACCCAGTTAGACTAGGAGAACCCACTCATATTGGAACAAACAATGATTGGATTTGGTTCCAGGTAATAAAATTATGTAAAGTTCTGATGAAATGTAATAAAATGAATATGACTAGAGAATCATTCCTAGAGATAAAATTATAAAAAATTAGATCAAGGAATGGGAAAAATGCAAATCCTAAGAGAATCCATCATCTATTTCACGTAATATCAAATAAATAAATAAATAAATTCTAAACTGGTGATATTTGTTCCAATGCTCTTGGATTTTGGTTTGGAGTTCCAATATAGATTGATTAGCTTGTAGTTTGCTGCCCTTCCTCTGTGTTGACTGGGAAATTAATTAGTCTGTAGTCTGTACAACTGTCAGCAAAGGTTTCTTGCCCAATCCTTCCTGACGACAAGTAAGCTAAAGAAAAATTACTCACTAATTGACTTGGTTTACCATCACCAAAATATTAGGTGTCCCAGTTAAAACTTACACGTATTAGCAAAGAAGCTTTTTTGCCTGTGTATACTCTAGTCCACTCTACTGTTCTAGAACACACTGGACTTGCTTTTGAGTGGCCACTGTTCACAATTATCACTAGTATAGCTGCTATGTTCAGTAAATTCATTTCTTTAGCATTCATTTGTAAATCTCCTCATATCATGTTACTAATTTTGCTGCATTACTATCCAGCTTCAGACGTTAGTATGGCAAATGCAGTTCAGTTTTTTTTACATTTTATCATGAAATGACTTTTTAATGCAAAAGATTCTAAATTCTCTTTCTTCTTTTTAACATCAAGCCAGGAAGCTTCATTATTTCAAGCCTACAACAATTAATAAAAAATGAAGGCATTCGAGGAATGTATCGAGGTCTTTCTCCGACAATCTTGGCATTAATTCCAAACTGGGCCGTAAGTTCTTTTTTTTATCTTGCAAACTAATCTGTTGCTTTAGTTTCACTTCATAAGTCTTGGGATTGTCAACTTAATTTAAACCACTTACTATTCAGTCATATTGCTGATGACCAATCAGATATTCTTTACCCCATCATGTATAACAATTGCAAACATGAATACTGAAAGAACTGGGAGACAGAACTCCATGAAAGATTATTACAGTAGGGTGATAATACAAAGACTGAGAAAGATAATGGGCTTGTTTGTTCACTCTAGTACTGTTACTATTATTGAGTTGATTAAATTCTTACCACGGTCTGTTAACCTTTTTTTATATGAGTAATGATATTCTTTAATGTTGTCATTTTGTTTGCAGGTTTACTTCACAGTTTATGATAAGCTGAAAGGAGTTCTTCATTCGCATGGTCATTTTCACAAAATGCTCTTCTGTCAATATTTTTGATGGCATCATTTTCTGCGATGACACATCTAATAATGCTTCATTCTGAAGTAATAACAATAACAATAAGCTTTTTATCACCTGCATGAATTCTTTTCTTCCATTTAGATTTGTTAAGGATCTTTTTATGGGTGAAACTACCTGTTATTATAGCTTCTAGTTGCCTCTACCCATTTGTTGAGTCCAGCCAAGACCTCTCTACATTGACTATGATCATCTCATTTCAAAATGCGCAAATCATATGTCCAGACCATATATATTAATTCTTCCTTTCTTATAAAGGAAAAGCGACTTTAACTTCTTGTGCGTGCAATAATTGTTTATCCTATTTCTTAAAGTATAGCATTCATCTGTCTTTCATTCTCAACGTTCATTCTCATTTCTGAAACATAAAGCATTTCCAGCCCCACATCCTATGGAATTTTTTCTTCAATTCCATGTATATCTTAGAATTACATGAGATCTCTGAGTACATTTATACATTAATTATCTTACTTTGGTTCAAGGGATGACAACTTAATGAATGAAGTAATTCACTAATCATGACAAATATACATTATAGGTGCCATATGGAAAGTTTGTAAATTACGTTTGATTTGTTTACATGCAGCTGATGGAAATAATCAACTCTCAATTGGTGCAAACATGATTGCTGCCTCAGGTGCAGGAGCTGCAACGGCTATTACAACCAACCCCTTGTGGGTTGTTAAGACCAGACTCCAAGTATGCTTTAATAGCTACCTGTCTTACTTCAAGATTTAGAGTATTTATCTTGTTTGGTTAATAAGTATCAAGGTTTTAAATATTGGTTATCGGGGATTTATCAGACGACCAAAATTCTTATCAGATAGCGAAAATCGGGGATATATCAGAGATAAGTAGAATTTATCGGGGTGATATACCGTATGATGTACATATATAATATAATACCCCAAATTGTAATCTAACCATACTCCCCTCTTTGTGATATACCGTATGATGTACATATATAATATAATACCCCAAATTGTAATCTAACCATACTCCCCTCTTTCATTCTCTCAACCTTCACTAATAATATAATACCCCAAATTGTAATCTAACCATACTCCCCTCTTTCATTCTCTCAACCTTCACTAAATAACCAGAGAAAAATCCAACTAAATAGTGAATATCACCTGTTGCTAGAACTTCAGAAGTTGTGTTGAGGGCGTGGCGTTGATGGGGAGTCCAAGTCGAACTATCGAAGTCACAATTGATGATGGCGTCGATGGAGAGAGCTCGACATCGATGGAGAGCTCAGTGTCGGTCAACGTTGTCGAGTCGATCAATTGATGATGGTGTCGATGGAGAGAGCTCAGCGTCGATTGAAGTCGTCAAGTTGATGAAGTTGACGTCGATGAGAGAACAGTGTCGAATGGTCGAAGTCGATAACGTTGAGGTTAAAGTCGATAGCGTTGAGGTCAGTGGAGTCCAAATAGGAGCGGAGGTGAGCGTCGAAGTCGGCGGAGGCGAGCGTCAATGTCGACGGAGTCCAAAGAGGAACGAAGATTAGGGCAGTGGGCACAGCAGCACAAATGAGGGGAGAGAGAACGGAGTATTTTGGTGACAAAATCGGGTTTAAGATTTATTGTAAAGGACGAATCGGGTCGGGTTTCAAGTTCACTCAAAAACTGCTCATTACCCAAAATCACAACCCATAAGTGTGGCCCGATAATTCCGATTTTTAGAGCCACTAATGTCGGCCAATAATCATCTTTATCACCACATTATTGCTGATAAACCCCAAAAAACAATAACCGGTTTAAATTCCAACTTCTCTTACCGGAAAGCTTCCAAAACCAATAACTCGGGGAGAATATCGGATTATCGGCCGATATTTAAGACCTTGATCAGTATCTGCATCTTCCCTAGTTAACCAATATCTATTTTGACAGTTTGTTTTCCTGCAGTAATGCAGTTAGTTATTTTGGGAAAAAGAGAGATTGTAATCATATTGCAGATTCAACATCTGGATAGTTGTGCTATGGATCTAATTGCTCTATATCGACATTTGTGACATATATTGCAAAATAGGAATTACAATAACCACAATATGAGGAGACAAGGTGATTCCCAATCAGCTGAGGCTTGAATAAATTTGGCATTTAAGAGGCATGGGCAAGGACTCAGGAGACAGATGCACGAAATGGAAATTAGTTTAAAAGTGTGGCATGGAAACATAGCTGCAATGCAGCATGATATGAGAATATATCTAAACAAACATGGACTTCCCATATATATACACATATTTTGTTTTCCATCCATAAGTCCAAAGGTTTTTCTTAATTAATAGGTTTCTTGCACTTAAATACTCCAAACTTTACCATATTTAACTATGATAAGCCAAAGTTTTTTCCCCAAAAAATACCAGAAAGTTCAACTAAATTTTTAACTTTGGTACCCACATTACTTGATATAATTGAAGGAGACTACAAAGAGCAATTGGGGCTAGTGATATAATCAATGGAGACTACAAAGAATAATTTTGGCAAATTGGGAAACCTATCATCATAATGCTTTAGAGGATTATTATGAAGAGATTTAAGACAACGGAAATTTTTGCTAGCAACTGGTTGTTTATTTCCTAAGATCACAAACTAAGCTACAAGAGTCGGCATGAACAAATTGCTTTTTGTAGTCTTCCTTGATTATCAATGGGGTAGAAAAATTAAATTTTGTTGACCTTTGTGATTTTGTTTGGGGGAAAAATTTCGGGGTATCAAAATAAAAAATCGGGGTAAACTTTGGGAGATCCAAAAGTCCCACATTAGAAGTATTAAGAATTAAGGTTAGTTTGGCATACATTATTAGCCACAACTTGATGAATTATGCTTCTAGATAAAATCGTTCTTGTCATTTAGATTCCCTAAACATTGAATAATTAATACAGTTTACACACTGTTCCAGATACTTTTATCTTTTTCATAATTAGCTGCTTATAGTACCTCAGGATAGCTTTATGGTTCTGCATTAGCCATATGTTAAATGCTTAAGAAGTTTGTCAATTATTGATAAAACCGTATGTCATCACCCTGGCCTCAAGTGTAATTGCTCCAAGCCAGTTGTTCGGTCAGTTACAGTAGTTACTCTATCAATGGGTTGTAGATCTGATCAAGTAAAATAAAAAATAATCATATTCAACTCAATATAACTGTTACAGTGTCTTCTACAGTTCTACCATATTTATAATTCATTCACCTCACCAGCAATTTTAAGTCCTTAAAGTTATGTTATAAAACCCTGCAAGATGCTTTCCTTTTCTGATATAACAAATCTGTCAATTTATGTATAGACACAAGGGATGAGGCCTGGAGTGATACCATACACTAGCATCTTTTCTGCACTGACAAGGATTTACCATGAAGAAGGCATCCGAGGGCTATACAGGTACAGTTGCTTTTCTGTCATAATCATGTTTTTCCTCCTTTCAGCCCTTCAGTGATTATTTTCTTTATATGCTTGCATCTTGATTATTTTCTTTATATGCTTGCATCTTGACATGGGTAGTGGCCTTCTTCCTGCTTTAGCTGGAGTTAGCCATGTTGCTATTCAGTTTCCAGCATATGAAAAGATCAAGGCTTACTTGGCAAAAAGGGGTAACAAAATCTATTTGCTTTCTGTTTTTTTAAAGCTTGAGATCTATACATAGTGTTTCTTCTTTCGTTTTATCATAATAATGCTGATCTTTCTGAGCCATTCCATGTAATACCAGCTAATACAACTGTGGATAAGCTGAGTCCTGGAAATGTAGCTATTGCTTCTTCACTATCAAAACTACTTGCCTCAACTATGACCTATCCTCATGAGGTATCAGGTTTTGTTCCTTATTCTCATTGTTAAAAGAATTCTATGCAAAATCTCTCTAGATATCTGAGGATACTTTACCGAGGTTATTTTTGGTTGCATAGGGAAAGTTGGAAACTAAAACAAGAAATTGCAGTAACAGAGTATGATCTATTTTCTCAAGTGTTCTCTGTTAGATTTTTCCCTTCTCTCACAGCGAACAGCAAGGAGAACTAATTTTTCCTTGTCTTTGAATCCTTCATTCATAAATGAAAACTGGTATTTAAAGAGGGTGAAAGGGAAAGAAAAGGCAGAGAAACAAAGGAGGAAAATAGAGGTTTCAGTTTTGTTATTCTATTCATCATGTTGCTTTCAAAGACGCCGTGTGAGAGTACTTTTCCTCTGACTGTTACTGTAATCATTAATAGGAAAATGTATATTCAAAAGCCCTATAATATGTTACTAACTTTACCTCTATTTTCTTCCATTATTCCTGCCTTTTTTAGTGTTTTTAGTTTTTTTATTTGTGTCCTTTTTTCTCTTTTTATTCCCTGGAACATTTGAGTCAAAGGTCTTTCCTTCTTCCCCTTCTTTTACTTTTATTAAATGTTATGCAGCTTTTTTGTTCAATGCTTGAAAATAAATGAAGAATAACTTCAAAATTTGGAAACATCCAAAAAACTAAAGTAAAAATAAATTATTGTGTCTTGATTGTTACAGATTAAGACATATTTTTTATTCCTTTGCTTTTACTGGCTAAATTCAGTTACAACTTCTATTATTAGCTAATTTCCCCCTCTCTATTTGTGCTCTCGTTTTCTTTCATTAACCAATCTGGATAAAACTATTCTGTTTATTTAGTAAAAAAACGAGATAAAGTTGTTCCTAGTTTCTCTTTCCATTTTTATTCCTGCTTATTATCAGTTTCTAGTTATGGAATGCATGCAACTGTAAATGCTCCTGTACTCCACCTTAAATTACAACAGGAAGTAGGGGACAAAATTGGATGGTTTATTCCGGTATAGAAAAGAGAATACTTGCATTTCCCACATAATTTATTTCTTGAGTTAATTGCACATAGTTTAGTATCAATGTTTTGAACTTACTACCCAAGTAGTTTCATTGTTGCAGATAGTCCCGTAGGTTAATTTTTTTCACTCTTTTACCCTTAAATAGACTAACTAATTTCACCCAGGGGCAAAATCTGCCAAAATTTACCAAGAGTTAAAAATGTCAAAAACTATCTCAGGGGTCGATCTGCAACAATGAAACTATAGAGGTAGTAAGTGCAAAACAACGATACTACACGAGCCTATGTGCAATTACCGCTTATTTCTTGGATTGGAGGGAACTTCTTCATGTTCAAAATATAACATCATTTAATCATATCAGGTTGTGAGGTCGAGGCTCCAAGAGCAAGGCCAAGCTCGTGATAGCGTGAAACATTACAAGGGTGTTATTGACTGCACTATGCAGGTTTTCCAGAAAGAAGGAATCCCTGGCTTTTACCGTGGATGCGCCACAAATCTTTTGAGAACCACACCTGCAGCTGTCATCACTTTCACCAGTTATGAGATGATTCAGAGATTTCTACGTCGTGTTTTGCCACCCTAGCAGAAAGAAAGGAACATACCTAAATGTCCTAGTGCCTGTTGACAGAAACAAAACTTGAAGCTGACACAGATATTTGTTGTTTCTTAACTGGATGCTGATTAGAATGGGGTTATAAGATTTGTGCTATTCCCTTTTTCTTGATTTATACTTTTTTTTAACAAAATTTCCCTTCGAACTGGTGAATTGTGTGTGTGCTAGCTTGGTGATGTTTATGGCTGTAAATCTTATTGAGTGGATCTTTAATTCGAAGTTCTGGGGTGGGCTTTTTTGCAAAATTGCCAACTTCAATTGCTGCCTAAATTAAAGGGCCATGTGCAACGCTCTAATTTGTTATGGGCTGAGTTGCATTTAAATTCCTTATATATAGTTTCTCCTACTTTGCACTTACGTATCCCCACTTGTTTCTGATAGCACTTAAGGAAAAAGCCAAATGGACCTTTATCTCGCAATTTTCTCAGGAAAAAAGGTACTATATTTTGAAGTTTCATCAAAATTCTTTAGTCAGTGGTTTTAAGTATATCATCACAAGGTATTGTTAATAGAAATGTAAATGCATCTCCAAAGCATGCAGGGTGTTGTGATCATGTGCTTGTGTAAATGATTTTCTATCAATAAAAGACCAAAAAAAAAAAAGAAGAAATTATGATTAGCCTTGGCATAATGGTAAGGTTTGTTGTCCTGTGAGCGGGTGAGGGGTGCGAGTCTCGGATGCAGAATCAATGCGTGCGGGGGGTAAGGCTGGGGTGCGCGAGTCTTGGGAACATTATCATTGCATGCGGTAGGGAGGTAAGGCTGGGGTGCGAGTCTCGGAAACAGCATTGAAGGTAGGTAGGTAAGGCTGGGGTGCGAGTCTCGGAAACAGTATCAATGCATGCGGGAGTGCATGCGAGAGGTAAGGCCGCATACATCCGACATTACTAATTCAGAAGCTCAGAGAACACCGATCATCGGCTGCAATGATATTTGGCATCACCAAACGAAACATCAAACAGACTTATAATATGATCACAGATTCATCGTTATAACAACACTAGATTCTGAGGAATACTCAGTTTACAGTCCGTTTGTAGTACTCTTTAACTGCTTATTATCCAATTAATGAGTTCCTTCCTATACATACATAGTTTTCATGGATCACTCAGTAACAATACAGCAGGTTCAAGTTTTTTTTTTTCCACAAAACACAGTCACCTCGCTTTATTGGCCTCCTCCTCAGGATAACGAAGAGTTCCAAACATCCAATCCATCAGTATAGTAAAATGCCCATAGTTGTGGCGATACGTTGTATGATGAATAGTATGGTAACCGGCACCCATGATAGGCCATATATCGCCATGGATGCAGTCATGAATATTTGTCGTCCAAAGTGTCTCGATGAAGATGAGCGCGACGTGGGTCACGAAATGGGTTGGGATGAGGAACAAACACATGACATGAGGAGAGGCACTCAGAAGTCCATCCAAGGGCTCATTTGCTAAACCTGAAAATAAAAATAAAAAAAGTACTCATAACAAAACTTTTTGCACGGAAGTTGGTATTACAGTGTTTACGCACTCATAACATTGTAATGTAAATTATCACATATCATTATTAGAGTATTATCATAAACGGAGTTGGGGATTTGAAAGGTGGATCATTGGTTTCAAAAGCATGGTGAAGTCGGAATATAATGTGGAGACACTTTAACTGAAGAATACAGACTATTGTAATTAATTGCATCGTTAACTAAAAGGCAGTGCTCAGTATCAGTTTGAGACAAAAAGGAAAATCTTACCTGCAAATGGTGAAAGTGTATTTTGCTTATTATAGATATGGTGTGTTGCATGAAGATGCTTGTATAGTGGCTTTATATCATGCAGCTCTCTGTGTACCCAATATATCGCAAACTCGCAAATTGCTAGATATATCATCAAATAAGCAAAATGCATTGGCCAACCAACTTCACTGATACTTGAATAGCATTTTGTCCATCCTCTTTCAACCATGTATTCTGATAATGTTGGAAGAGCACAAAACCAAGGCAACCCCTTAAATGCATATTTTGCTTGCAAAAGCATGGCTCGGTTCGATGGAATCTCATCTGCTCATGGGAAAATGATTGAGAAAATGCACATAAATAAGTAGAGGATAATATTGTGATTGAAACCTCAAGACACCATCTTAATATATATGCTATGATCGATGTATGAAACTTTCACGTCAAGTTTTTATCAACAAAAAAGGCACCTGGGTTTTTTAAAGCGTGTCACAATTAATTGACGAGAATGAATGACAATTCCAGATCATCGTTCTTCGACGAAGCAGGCTGAGGAACAGTAAGCTAGCATTGGAGAATTGCTTTCATTAATGTGTCTGTAGTTTATTCAAGATTAAGCTTTATATACATTTTCGATACCATTGTATTTAGTGAATATTTAAACAGGTCTATCTCAGATATTTATAATAGAGACTATTTCTCCTTGTTGTAATATGTAAACATATGTGCCCTTACCAATTATGTTAATGGTCTTTGGTGTATACCATGAGCCGACATGAGCCAAGTCAACACCAGCCAGTCTTAAGCCCAAGTGACCCCGTCAAGGCTGACCCACAACCGTCTATCAAGGTTGCGTAGCCCACAAAGAGGACAACGACTCCGGCCCAACCGAGTTGGGCTGCGTTTAAAAACAGCCCGAGCTTAGTTAGATTCGTTTTCCACGTATCAGGAGCGTTACGATTGTATAAGTTGTATTGGTTCTGTTTTATCAACACAAGATAATCGTACGATCTTCATTGATGCTGCCAGAATTTTACAATGGTAATTAAATTGGAGACAAATGCATGACGCATAATTGAGAAAAAGAGACCATCATAATAATATTTTCTTTTGGTGCTAGGCCATCATAATATTACATATACTTGTTCCTATAACTTGATTAAGTTTATTTCTAGTTATTTCTAAAAAAATTCTAAGCATCTTAATGGGATATTCTAATTTTATTTCTAACTGTTATGATGAAGGGTAAATTTGAGGAGTGACTACAATTTTAGGGGGAAAACAGCTAATCATAATGATTTGAGAGACAAAACTTAAAACACATATGATCTAAAGGGGGTATGTGTCAACAGAACCGTTGAATAAATGGGTTAATTGCAAATAGATCCCAAGTAGTTTTATCTCCGGATTGCATATAAATCCCTTGTAGTTCTATTTTACAAATCACCCTTTGAGTGAATTTTTTTTTGACTTCTCAATTTCATAGAAAGAGAAAACTATTTCTTGACAAAAAGACGTCCTACTCAAGGTAAAAGTGTTAGAGAAAATTTTTCTCAAGGGGTTTATCTACAACAGCAGAACTACATGGGTCTTCGCAATTAGGCAACAATATAGAGGATCTGTCCCCAATTAACTCTAAATAAAATGATCATGGTTCCATAAAAGAAACGCTAGTTA